GTTGAACTGTGGGGAATTGCTTGAAAAACAGTCACAATAGCAGAAAAAAGAAATGAAAGGAGAGCAGTGGCATGGTAGCATCTCTGCATCACTGAGGTTCAGCTGTGCACAGGGTCAATTGCCAAGCTGCTAATGCAGAGTGAAGATTAATTGGCTTTGGTCAGCCTTTGCTTCACTATCTGAATATCATTATCAGGAATGTAAATGATTATGCAATGCAGAGAAATGCCACAATAGTCTCAGTGTCTCCTTTTATACTTGTCTCTTTTTGAACAGGGCTTTATCTAAATGCAAATGTGATTTCAGCCTTCTGATTAGGACATTATACAGTCATCCATTCCAGAAAAGCACAATTAGCAGATTATTTTATTTCTGACTCAACAGTTCTTGGTTTAGATAGTTTGTTTGTTGTGCTGTGCATGATATTTAAGTTATCAGAAGGAGATTTACATTATTAGTCAGGATTATAGCCAGATTTTGTGAGGTCGAGGGTTTTTGCTTGGCAGATAAAAATGGTAACATTTGTGGGATTCAAGGGGCGATGTTTTTAGAACAAAAGGCAACAGTGCAGATTTTTACAGTGCTTCATTGTGTCAAGGAAGGGGCAAATTACGGCAGTAACTGTGCAAATTCTCCCGTGCTTTGGGATGTACAAGGGCAGAGTGGAGCCTTACCTTGTCAGGGTCTAGTCTCTGTTGTGGGGAGCTCATGCAGGGCCCCAGTATCCTAGAACTGGGGCAGGTCATGAGATCATTTCTTATTAAACAGCCATTTTACCAAAATAACCATCAAGTTTTCTGTGTGCTGTGGTATGATATTGCCAGGAGTGAAATTACATTCTCAGCAAAACATAGATCTTTGGTGATAAACTTCCCCAGGAAGCTTGTCCTTTTCACAGCATTTGTAGCATTTTTGGAGCTGAGAATCTGTCAGAACTCAGGGTTTATTTTTTTCAATTTGAGTATGGGAGTCTCATGCAGTTTAGGTTTGATAATAGACAAGGTGAAAATTTCCATCTTCAAATCTGTTGGAAAGTCCAGTACTTATGGGAAGGTGAAGGATTCTTTTCCCCCCAAAATTCATTGTTGCAAGTGTATTTGTCAGGTGATGTGGATTCAACAGCTCATCATTTTCCTGTGAAAAATTACTGCAGTGGAAAATTCCCAGTTATCTATAGTGAAACAACATTTTCAATTCCATTGATCAGTTTAATCTTTCCATATTCATATGTTTCTGTGCCTGGCTCATTGCTCTCTCCCAGAGCTGCTTTTCTTTCTGCTGGGCCAAGCTGTCCTGGGCAGTCCCAGCACATGAGGGATCTCTGCATTTGTGACAGGAAATCTATTGCACCACTTAGGTTTAATTAGAGCACAGTGACATATGAGGAGTCTACACATCAAAGCCTAGAAACAACTCCACAAATTGGCTCTAGTGCCAAAGTGTATTTTGGGATCTGTATTGAATTTTGGGGTGTTTCAGTGCATTTAGTGGGAATGTGTGAAATGCAGGCTCAGGTTCTTAGGGTCAGTGGGACTATAGCCATTCTTACCAGCTAAGCATCTAGCCCAAAAAACCTGTGTGTAAAGTCACATTTAGGTTCAGGTCAACTAGAGTCCAACTATATATTCCAGCTTTCTGTGTTGGATGATGAACACCCTGTTCCCATAGGAACTCACTGTGCAAGTAGCTGGTTGAACCCTATGCCCAGTCCTAATTTGCACTGGGGTCAGAGTTGAATGTGGACCCGAGGCATCTTTTAAACTGCCAGAGTGGAGTGAGGGGTTAACTCAGCCCCAGGTGCACAGGTGGGCTGTGGATTCTGCTCACTTGGAGCTCTCCTTCCATGCTGGTAAGTCCTGGTTGGTGATGGTAATGCCCTGAGCTTCCACAAGGGATCTCTTCACCTCCTGTCTCTAATGTGCACATGGCTTTGTCATTTCAAGCAGCAGGACTTACCACTGGGGCAATTTTCTCCTTCCATAAATGCTTTTCATTTAAAAAAAGAGTGGATTTGGATGTTTCTCATATATTTTATTTATTTTAGGCAAGCTTAATTTGAGATATAGTATCCAGATCCCAACTTTTTCTACACTCCAGATTATGGAATGGGTCTATTTTTGTCTTATTGTTATTAATCTACATTATTTTCAAATACCCACTTTAAAGGTTCCTCCCAACCCAAACCATTCCATGATTGCATTTCTATTTTCAAACTAGGACACAGACTTGGAATCATCCTAGCTAATTTAGGCTTGTAACTGCAGAATCTAGTTTTGCTGCTCCTTCTGTGTTTCATGGAGAGAAGGGCAGGGATTAATTCAGTCTGTGTGTTATGAGTCACATTTTGGAGTTGCTTATCTTTCTGCTGCTTGGAGGGGAATGCAGGGATCTCTGCTGACTACTGGGTGTGTAATCACCTCCTGTACTTGAATGCCAAAGTGAAATGAATCCAAACCAAAAATGCATGGAGCTGACACCTAGCATAGGTTTCATTGCAGAGGGAAAATTATATTTCAGAGAAAAAAACATGGGAAGAAAACAAGAGATGAACATGTTAAAGCCTGGGGGTATTTCGATCTGTATTCTGAGCTGAACTTTTTAGCTGAAGCCACAATTAGCACATCCTGTGTGCTTGGAAAGTGAGGGAGCATCAAAGTAGGCAGACTGAAGCCATTTTGAAAAGTCAGCTCTTGGTCTGTATTTCTCAATTTTTGTAGTATCTTTCTGTCCTACATATGGGGCTTTTTTTAGAGCAGTATCCAATTCCTGTAGTGTGTGAAGCCAAATGGCTTTTATTAAACAAATAAGGAAAAACAGAACTGGAATCAAACAAGCAGAATGAGAAGATTGCAGCAGCAGCAGCATCATAGAGCCAACTTATTGCCCTCATGATGGAAGATTGGTTTGCTAATTGTTCATGAAAGCTAATGGAAACCGTATTTAGGCTGTGAATAATTCTCAGGAGGGATCATTGTGGAGTCTTACCTCATTTCTCACACTTTCCTGGTAGAACATCTCAAGTGTTCCAAAGCAGACACACCTCACGAAGCTCCAAGTGCAGAGAGTGGTGGTCAGGTGTAGGTCCTAGAGCAAGGTGGGACTGACTCCTTGGGATGAGGGAGCTTTGCTGGCACATCACTCACCTCTCAGGGCCTGCTGCACAGGGATACTTTGGCAAAGGGCTTTGATTACTCAGGGTGTTGCTAAATGGATTTTGAGAAGGCACGAATGAACTGCACAGAACCCATTGCAGGTGTAAGGGAAGATGTCAGTACAAGTGAGCAGGAAAGGGATTCTGACATACATTCTTCAAAGGTTTCTGCCTGTTAAGCCCATTGTGCATCTTAGAATTAGTTTTACTAATTTGCATCATCAGCTCATGAGACAGTCACTCTTGTAAGTGCTTCCTTGAGACAACCATCTTATCCCTTGGAGGCTGGAAAAGCTTTTTCTGAAGTGTCAGAGCCTTCCCTAGGGGCTTCCAGAACACCCAGTGGCCGTGATTCCCTGTGTTTCTGCAGGTCCCTGCAGAGCTGGTGTTCCAAAGCAGCCTGTGCTCTGTCAGTCTGCTCCTGTCACCTCCTCCCTGCTCCCAGCACACCTGGTGGGCTCCTCCTCCAGCCTCGGCCTGGGACGTGTCACTGCTGTGCCTCACACATTCCTGGGGGCAGGAAGGTTTTCCTGAGCTCTGGGTGTGCCCACAGTGCCGCCCTCGGCAGAGCCCTGCCCGGGGATGCTCGGGGTCCCTGCAGACAGTGACACTGAGGGGGCACAGCTCTCTCACCTGGGCAGTGGATGAGGAGCTCTGCCCCTGCAACAGCTCCTGCTGCTCTTACAGGATGTACTTTGGAGTCAGAAAATCAATGGAACCTGGAGTTCATGCAGCCCTTCAGCAGGGACCAGACAAACCTGGACTGGGGTGCTCAGATGTGGCTGCTGGGGGTCTGTGCCAGGAGCAAAGCAACCTCCTCGAGGCACATTTCATTTACTGAGAATACAGATTACAGTGGTACATATCCCATTGCAATGGGTATTTATAGGTGCATAATGAGGAGATTTTATCCACTGCAACAAGATCTGGTCTGTGCAAATATACAGCCCAGGCATGTGATAGCTGTGGTGTTCTACTCCGAAATAAATTTGGCTGAAGAACTTAAATTACTTAAGAAAAAGGAAAAAAATGTTCCAAATAATGAGTAAGTATCATAACAGGTACTAAAATAATGCCACACACCTACTTCATTATTCAGTTGCTTATTTATTATCTTTATTCTTAAAAGTAATGATATAAAATGCTTTTTTCCAAATGTTAATTTAGTTCTCTGCAGATGGCAACCATCTGTTAAATGACAAGGCATTTACAGTCTTTGATTAGCACTTTATAGAGCTCGGATGAACTTATTGTTACAATATTTAAGTATAGTTATGGAGGTGAAACTTGGTAGATTTGTTCTTTTCCTGTTGCTGTTACCAAAAAAACGGAAAATTTCAAACCTGACAGTGTTTTTGCCTGTCCTCTCCTTTACTTATCTATGTTATTTCAAGCTGAAGCCTTGACATTCTTTACAGAAGGACAATAATAGGAAATATTGTTAAATTCCAGCACCATTTGTAGCAATTATGAGCGTTCTCATTCTGGAAAGTCACCATGTGGATGAACTCTTAGGGATGCTCAAGGAAAGCATTTGAAGGACTCAAAGGATCATGGAAACTTCCTGTGGGCTGTCACACAGCTTTGTGTGCCTACAGAAAATTACACAGGGGGTCAGTTTGTAAAATACTGGGATAGATGTTACTGTTCCCATCACAAGTGATCTGAGTGCAGGAGCTCCACTCTCTGTGTTCAATACCTTGGGCAGTGACAACCAACCCTCCTCAAAGGCTTCTGCGAGTCACGCTGCTGATCCTGCATTGCCCGGCCCTGTGTTCGCCGTTTGATGTTGTTTGCGCTGTCGCTGTGTGCCTTTGCCCCCCTGAGTTGCTGTGCTGTGTGTCCGCAGGCCGGGCCATGCCGCCGCTGCCGGGCGCGGAGCGGGTGCGGAGCGCGGTGCGGCTGTACCGGTACCTGCTGCGCTGCTGCCGCCGCCTGCCCGAGGGGAGCGTCCGCCAGCACTACCGACACGCCATCCGCCAGGTCAGGCACGGGGCTGGGGCTTGGCTTTCCCCTGCTGCTCTTTGCACCAGCTTCTTATGGCTCCTGGCACTTGAAAAAAATAAACCTGACTATTCTTTTGTAAGCTTGAGACATGAGTGGATTTGAAGGGTTATAGTGGGAGTATGTGAAGGAGCATTACTTTTTGTTTGCTTCTGAAACCTTCTATTTTTATTGGCTTTCATCTCTAATTCTTTTGTTAGTCAAGAGGATGAACAATCATTCCTTACTCCATAAACTCATCTTTTAGGGCCAAACTTACTGGTTCCTTGTCAGTCATTTTTTAATATATATATATATATATATCTCTTTCCCCTCTGGCTGGGTAAATCTCATCTGACTGTTCATATTCCATACTTCATATGGAAGTGATTTCATGCCTTTGATTTTACCTGTTGTCCCATGTCTCTCCAGTTTTAACCTACCAGACAATTTCAGTTTTTGTTGATGATGTATGAAAAGAGTAAAATACTTCACATGAAATTCCATATGACCAGATTTGCTATGGAAATAGCATGGCCAGGTGCTACAATGTGTATCTTTACCTTTCCAGACCAGCAGTTTATTTAGCATCAAATATTTTTCTGAGATTTAAAAGCAATCCTTATTTTGACAACTGTTGTGTTGCCTGGTCCGTGTGACACTTGGAATGTTGCAGAGTTTCAAAGTTCATGCTGATGAAGATGACCCTGAGCGAATCCAGCAGATCATTAAAAGAGCCATTGAAGATGCTGACTGGGTGATGAATAAAGTAAGTGCCTCAGATTGTCTGTGTTTTGGTTTCTCCCAGTTCAAAACAAGAAGAAAACTCTGAACAGGCAATTTTTGTGTTAACCTGGAAAGGAAATACCTGGCCAATAGGGATCTGTGATTGTGACAGCTCTTGTTTAAAAGAATCTCTTCATCAATATAAACTAAAGATTGTTTTTTTCAGAACAAATAACAATTTAAGTTGGTCCCTGTGTCAGTCTTTGTTTCCATGAAGAATTCTATTAAATTTCAGCAATGGTGGCTTGTATAACCCTATTATAGGAGAAAAAAACCCCAAATACAGCATTTTGAAAGCTATAAATTGATATGCAGCATCTGCCTTCCTAACAGATTCACTCCTCGTAGGCACTTTATATAAACTTCCAGAACTGTTGTTGTTTTTTCTCAGATCTTGCCTGTGGCTGCAGAGGTCAGGGGCAAAGCTGTGGTGCTGGGCTCCCCTGTGCCATAATTCTCACCCAGTGGATCTGCCCCTGTGCTCTCACAGCACTGGAAGATGCCACTCAGGCTGGCTTGTCAGATAAAAGAATGAGGATTGTTTATGTTAGACAGCTGAGAGTCACCTGTGCTTCCTGGGATTTGAGTCTGGCTGGGGAGTGTGATATGTTAACATTGAGTATAGGAAACAAGTCAAAAGTTCAGCTTCCTCTAAATATCTATTGATTTTAATTTACCAAGTGACTGTTAAGTCCTTCTCTCTGCCAGTCCGTGAAATCCAAATGAGAATTGTTACAGGAGCAAGCAGAGATTAGTCACAGATTATGAAATTATAGCAGTAGCCAAATCCCAGCAGTAACAGCCTAGTCAACAACTGTGCCTGAATCTGATTTTATTCTCCTGCAATTAGAATGTAGGCTCATTCTGAAAGAAAGAGAATAGGCTCATTCTACTTCAGCCACAGAGGCTGTAGTCTGGTTCTGGGGAGAACTGGTAATGGACCGGTGTGAGAGGAGGGGCACACTCACAGTGCCTGCCAAGGAGCATTATTTTATATTGCAGAGAGAAAACCTGTCAAATTTCAATCTAACTTAAGGGAGACGAAGGTAAATTTATGTGGATCATGAAGAGAGTTGTAAATCTTTGTCAGCATGAACTGTTACTTAGTTATATGCTTTTTCCCACAAAAAAATTTGGTTTGTTATTTTTTTTTCAGTATGAAAAACAGAAGAAGAGGAAGGATGAAGACAAGAAGGACACTGGTAAACATCCTTAGAGGACTTGCAGTCAAGCCCAGTGCTGTATTAGAATTATTGCCTGAAGTTTTATCTTAGATACTACAAATACAGTAATTTATATCTCACTGGAATGTCATGAAGCTAAATTAATATTTCTGAAGCTATTTAAGTGTGTAAATGAAAAGGCACAGTCGAGGTTAATACTCTTGCCTTGTATAATCACAAATTTTAAGTTAAAGCCCAAACTTGTCTAAGCTTTGAGTAACTTCCTCCATTGTATGTGAGGCCTGGATCAACCCTGGCAGTGTGTGAGACACATTTTGCAGGTTCTTTGGTGACGAGGCTCCCCTGCATCAGCCACTGTGCATTTCGGTGACTGAGCAGTTCAGCTCGTGTGTGTGACACTGATGGCAGCTGTCACTCTGAGAGGCCACATCATCCTCTGTGGGGACCAGAGGTGTGTTCACAGTGAAGCAGAGGTATGACCAGAGCACAGGGCTGGGTTTGATCCAACAGCAAACTCAAAAGCCTGGGCTGCCAAGGGGAGAACATGCCACGAGAACTTTCTGAAGGCTGAACCACAGTAATTTCCACTTGCCTGTCCATGCTACGGCCACATCTTCCCTCTGCTCTGTGGGCTGTTGGACTGCTGGCTGTCTCAGTAAAGTCAGGGGCTGTCACTGCTCTCTGAGCTGCCACGGGAGCAGCCCCTGAAGGGTCAGGAACAGCCCCTGCTGGGTCGGGAACAGCCCCTGCTCGTCAGGAACAGAACCCCCTGCTGGGTCGGGAACAGCCCCTGCTGGGTCGGGAACAGCCCCTGCTCTGTCGGGAACAGCCCCTGCTCGGTCGGGAACAGCCCCTGCTCCCTCGGTTCGTGCTCGGGGCAGTCACTGCCCGTGCGATGCTGTACGGCTCAAAGGCCTGCACGGCTCTTTGCAACACAGAATAAATGTCCTTTCAAAATGGGAGTCCCTGTGCGTTTCAAAAGGCCGCCTTTCCGCTGCCGAGTGTGTTTTGCGGGGTGAGAGCCGGTCCCCCGGGCAGAGCTCGGGCCGGTCCCTCCGCAGTGCCGCGCTCCGCTGCAGTTCCGCGCTCCGCCGGCGGGCGGCGGTGCGGGCGCGCCCAGCGCGCTCTGTCCGCACGGCCCTGCCGCTGGTTCGTGCCTTCGGCCGGGGAGCGAACAGGGAAATGCGGGCTCAGGCAGCCCAGCAGAGTTTGGGAAGCGCTGTATCGGAAATGGGGCTGTAAGGGAACGTTTGTGTTGTATCAAAAAAACCCTTTGTCTCTGCTAGCACTAAACCCCCCTCTCCAAGAATTCCTGTCCTCTTATTCTTCCCTCTGCCATCACCACTATTGTTCCTCTCTCTGCTCCCACATCTTTCACATCATCTTATACACCCTTAACTTTTATTGTCCTTGTCCTCAATTCTGTTCTCATCTTGTCTCTCTACCCCACTTATTTCTTCTCTTCAAATCCTTTTCTGTCAAGTGCATCAGAACATACTCAGGTGTTATGCTGGGGCCAGCCTTCTGCTTCATTTCAGGTAAAGCAGGAAGGTAAGAGAGTTTCTCAGCAGAGCAGGTGTTTCTTTATGTTAGGAAAACCTCTTAAGTAAATTTTTTTGAAAATGCAGTCATTTTAGTTTAAACTTTCAAAATAATTTGGTGCAAGGTAGAACACAGAAAGCTTCAACCTTGGCAAGGCACAGAAAGCTTGACCGACAAGGAATATCCAGTATGATACTGAACACTAATAAAGAAGCTCCAGCATTTTTGATAGTAGCTGTCTGAGTGTGCTGCCTCTGATCAGAATAGCACACAGGTGACCCCTGCTGTACTCCAGGTCTGTGCTGTGGGTTTGGTCTGTAGCTTGGAGATGCACTGAACTTTGTATCACTGCAACAGTGAAAATTAGAGCCTTAGTGGGATTAGCAGTGTATGGAAACATGGCAGTTTCCTGAACTTTAAATGTAGAGTGCTCAGCAACCCTCTATGGTTTTAATTGCCTGAGTTTTGGTAGTGTGAGCTGTAATATTTTGTTCAGTTACAAAATAGGATAATTGCATGTGTTTAAATCACTCTTACATGCCTGTTATTTAATTTATGGCTAGTTCAAGAGGGAAAGCACCAAGGAGCTGGAAGATGCAACTGGGACATGTCTGCAGCTCCAAATGTCTGAGGTGCCAGCTGAGAACATCAGACCAAAGGTATGATAGAAGAACTGATATGGGAGGACCAGGATCTGGGAATTTTAGGTTTTGGAAAGTGGTGGAGCTTTCAGTTTCGGTAGGGCACAGAGGAGGGACATGGTAGGTGAGCAGGAGACATCATGACTAAATATTTTGATTGGAGTGATTCAGCTGGAGGGCATGAGGATATGTCTGAGGGATTTTTTGGGGGGTTTTTTTGTACAAATATAATCTGGTTTTCAAAATAGTAACCTTTTAATAGAGCGAAAGTGTGAAGATAACTTTACTTACTCAATATACAAATAATTTTCTTGGTGGTGAGGAGAAATGATGCAAACAACTATTTACTTCCCTGAAAGAGAAAGTAATGCCCGTGTCTCAGACATGTCTCTGTAATGACTGGGCTGAAGAGTCATTCAGCTGCAGAGCTGAGGCTTTTGTGTTTTCAAGACATTATACAAATTCCATTCTCCAGCAGCATAAGTTGAGTCCCAAGATGTTATGTCCCAGATGTAGATGAGAACCTAAACTCTGAGAGGAGATTTGGGCAGAGCTTCAATACTTTCGACCAAAATTATTACTCAGAAAACTTCTGCTCAGAAGTCATTGAATCCTGGACTTGGCCAAATTTACCACTCACTGACCTGTGTTCCTGGAGTTCTCCTCACCTTTGTTTGAGCAGCTTTCTGCCTCTTTGCCACCCAGCCCTGCTGAGCCTCAGGAATGTTCCCTGTTCCCAATGCCAGCGATCACTGCCAGCGGCTCTAATGGGGCCCACTGGGAGACAGAACATGGCCACAGGCAGCTGCTCCTGGGTTCTCTCATGGCAGTGGGGATCAGAACATCAATCCCATATACATTGGTGCATCTGTGGTTCCATTTACAGTCATCCAGAATCTCTGAGCATAAAGCTGGCGGATCAAAGAGACTGTATTGTGCCCTGAAATGACTATTGCAGAGGCTAAAACAGCTCCTGGTGTTCATTGAGCTGGTGACAAGGCAAGGCATAATGTCAGTAAAAGGAGACAAACCCATTTGGAAGCTTTAGTTTCTCTTACTGAAATGAGGAACCCATTTCTGCCCGAGTTCTGGTAAGTGATGGCCTGCTGATAGGTGATTGCAGTAGCTGGATGATTAAGGGCTGGTCAGAAGGTTGTGTCTTGTGTCCAAGCCCCGTTTTTGTGGCCTCCCTGGTGACTGCTCCTGCAGTAAGTGATGCCAGCATCGGTTTCAGTGTGGAATAGGATCCCGTGCCCCTGCCTAGCCCAGGGTTTGCATTGTATTTACACAAATGTAATAACTACATTCTGCTAACAACACTTCTGCAGCTGGTTACAGTAAGATCTTGAGTCAATAACTTTTCCTGAGTACTCTACAATTCAGAGTTGAGTGGACTTAACTCTTCAAAGGTTGTGTACAGGCAACTCTTGGTTAAGGAGGTAGAGAGAGTTTCACAGGAGGCTTGTTATACAAGACAAACGTTAGAACAAGGAAAGACAGTTGGGAGACATGTTTAACAGGGGGAAATCATGCTTTACATTCTTGCAGTATGGAGAAACAAATAATTTAGATCATGTTACAGACTTATCAACATCCAGTCTAAGACCAGAACCAAAGCTGGTGCTATACTTTCTGTTCTGTGTATACATGACCTTGGGAACCTAAAGCTGAAATTATGTGGAAATAATCTGTACATTTCAAATATGGAACTAATGTGCCTAAAATGAAGCAGTTGCATCAGGTTGGTCAATGTGTTTTTAGTGTTTTGGTTCCTGCTCTTAAGCTCTCAGACAGATGGTAAGGACTGCTTTGGTTATTACCAGCGTTGGAGCCTCATGTAGAAACTTTCTGTCTAGTGAAAGTTTTTCCCTTTTTTTTATTTTTTTTTTTTATTTATTTATTCATTTCAGGTTTTGGTATGGAAAAGATTGTGTGAGTGTGTGATTTATGTAAAATACAGGATAGCTTTCTGCTCTTCACGTGGCTGGAGACACATGTACCTCTGCTCACATTCTTCTGTCAGAGGTGTCACTGATTTCAATTCACTCTCACAACCGAAAGTCATTTGAGCTCTGTGGGTACTGAATAGAATTCTTCCAACCCAGGCCAGGCCTTGCTTACCACCATTTGTCAGTAATTGAATGTTCTTTAAATCATTCTTTAGCACTTTGTAAACTCTTTCTCACTTGGTTCGTTATGTCACAGGCTTTTTGTTTAGAGACACTTGAGCTTCAGGATTTGATGCTAAACAAAAACCTCTCTTCCATGGTGTTTGGCTCATTTTCAAATGTCATAAGGAAGTGATCCTTACTGTGATACTGTACAGAACAGGAATACACACTATTTCTGGGAGAAACAAATAATATTCACTCTGATCTTTTTTAAAGGAAACAGTTTATTTGTAATAGCTTTTAACTTGGCATTATAAATTGTGCCTTCATATAAAACTCTGATAAGCTGCAAACTGAACAGGCAGCAAAACATCTGTGTCTCATTCAGTATCATAGTATTTATTCCTTGTGAGAGCCCTTGACCTTAAACTGTAAGAAGGAGTCTCTAGAGCTTTATGCTCCACTGCATTGTGTCCCTCAGTGTCACCCCAAATAGCAGAGGTGTGTTTGAGGTGAGCAGTCTCTTGGTCAGAGCAGTGTTCTGAAGCAAGTCACTGACACCCAGAAATGGCTGGACAGGGACCCACAGTGCCCACTGGGTCAGAGCCTTTCCTGCAGCCTTCCCTGCTGCTCAGAGCTGATGGGTTTCTGCTGGAGCTCGGGCCAGCTGGCACATCTTTCAACTTTTGTATTATTTGATTAATTTATCTTATAATTCTGTCAAGCCAGATTTTATGAAATAGTGTTAACTGAAGTATACAATAATCATCAAGTAGTCCTTTCAGCTTGTGATTAAGCAGGGCAGACACATTAACTTTTAAAAAAACCCTGCTCTTTGAAGAGTATTTTCTTCATAATTGTGTTTGATATTTAAAATAGTTTTTAAAAGTTTAGAAGCAGAGGGAGGCATCTGTCACTTGCAGCTACGAGCTTAACAATGTTTGTATTTGTTGCTGAGGGAGAGGCCCCTGGCATTGCTCACCTCACTGGTAGGGTCTAAGAGGACAGTTCTGAGGCTGCTGTTTGCTGTCCTTGCCTGTGAGCTGGGAGGCCCAAGAAGTGAACTTACCTATCCTGTAACTATCAACCTGGGTGCCTTTTCCCCCAGAAGAACCTGCCTTTGTGTTCTGCATGGGTCCATTTTGAGAAGGATTAACTTGATTTTTGGTTTTTCAGTTAGTAACTTCCGAGCCAGCTTGGTTTGGGTATTTCACAGAATCACAGGATCACTGAGGTTGGAAAAGACCTCCAAGATCATCAAGTCCAACCTGTGACCAATCCCCCCCTTGTCCCCCAGCCCAGAGCATTGAGTGCCATGTCCAGTCATTCCTTGGACACCTCTTGGGATGGGGACTCCAAACCTCCCTGGGCAGCCCCTTCCAATGCCTGACCACCCTTTCCATGAAGAAATTCTTCCTGATGTCCCACCTGAACCTCCCCTGGCACGG